TTGTTTCTTTTCTTTTTCCTCCAACCACTTCTTGTTTCTTTTCTTTTTCCTCCAACAACTGCTGTAATCTCTCTTCTTGTTTATTTTCTTTTTCCTCCAACCATTGCTGTAATTACTCTTCTTGTTTCTTTTCTTTTTCCTCCAACAACTGCTGTAATCTTTCTTCCTGTTTATTTTCTCGTTCTTCTTGTTTTTTTCTTTTTCCTCCAACCATTGCTGTAATTACTCTTCTTGTTTCTTTTCTTTTTCCTCCAACAACCGCTGTAATCTCTCTTCTTGTTTATTTTCTTTTTCCTCCAACCACTGCTGTAATTTCTCTTCTTGTTTCTTTTCTTTTTCCTCCAACCACTGCTGTAATTTCTCTTCTCGTTCTTCTTGTTTCTTTTCTTTTCCTCAGACAGCTGCTGTAATCTCTCTTCTTGTTTATTTTGTTATTCGAGCTGCCACTGTTGCAGGTTTTCTTGCAACTGCTGTTGTCTCTCTTCTTGTTTCTTTTCTCGTTCTTCTTGTTTCTTTTCTTGTTTATTCTCTCGTTCTTCTTGTTTCTTTTCTTTTTCCTCCAACAACTGTTGTAATTTCTCTTCTCGTTTCTTTTCTTTTTCCTCTAACAACTGTTGTAATTTCTCTTCTCGTTCTTCTTGTTTCTTTTGCTGTTCTTGTATTGCTGTTATCAAATCTGCTAAGCTGTAGTTTGAGTTGCCGCTTCTCGTTTCCATTTTTTTTCTGTCCCACTCTCTGACACCAATTTGTTACGTCTCCGTTTGTTAATTAATTTTCCGTAACTTCGTTCCGACGAAACTTTAACGACACAAGTCCTTACTTAATAAAACTGGTTTATTCTTTATGAATATAACTTTACGATACACTTATTTTTAACAGTCGCTCTTTTACAAGCGTTTTAACAACGAACGTTAACTCCAACAATACTTCCTGACTGCATTTCAATTACTCACTACCTACACACATTATTCCGTCACGTTGTCACCCTCTTATATATATGCCAGACAACCCTATATCTAGTAATCTCCCGACTATTCCCGAATGTTCGAGAGGTGGCGCGACACTAGTCACGTGACCTCGCTGACCCAACAATACGAATACCTAAACTTTTATGAGCTTCCTAGATATTGCGCCATGCGCTCTACAGCAAACAAGCAACTAAATTAAAATAAAAAATACATAGCGACCAATGTATTTCAACCACATGTCAACTGCTGACGACGCATTTCACTCAACACAGAGCGCATCAGGCCTGTTAGGACCCAACAAACACTGTTGTGGCCGGAAAGCTAATTGTGTAAGCCATGTGTTACAACAACAATTGAGGCCTGTGGATCGCAGGCTTGAATCCTGTAACTAAATATCCCCTTTTAGCCCGGAGGGGGGGGGGCGTTTCATGTGACGGTTACTATTCGTTGGTAAAGATTAGTCCAAGAGTAGTTCAAAATTTCCCAAACTTTTTTGGCCACGGAACACTTTTCAGCTTACGGAACATATGAACTATTGGTGTAGAGGGTATGTTGCACGCGCAGCGCCCTTTAGATTTGTATATTATTCATTTATTTATTTAATCAAATTATATATTAATAATTTTTTATGTTCTTCTGCTTATAATATATTTTAGGTACAAACTTCTCCATTAAGATATTATTTAGGATAGATATGGCATCTTCTATAATTCTTCTTCAATGCGAAATCGACATTATCTAATTCTAATACACAGGAAAACATTTCATAATAAGTTATCATCGTACTAAAAGAGTTAAATATTTTATTAAAATTTCAAATCATGATTTTCTCACGAAGCACCTATCCATCTCGGACTGAACACCAGTGTTCCACCTCTCTAGTCTACCACGTCAAAATCATGGACGTCTAGCACGGATATCCCTTGAGTAGCTATGCACAAAATTCAACAAACATAGAAAGGTATCTGATTGAACTTCTTGGATTACCAAGGTATCTTTTAGTAATATTTCACTCCAATATTAGTTCTCAAAATATTTACAGTATAATAAGATTAATAAAAATATTAAAAAACAAAAAATAGTTTAGTAATCGAAATTGTTATTTTGCTGAAATAAATCCCAGAAAACTACGTCGATAATGAAAAAACAACAAGGAGCCGAGATTAATTTTTATGTCATAAATTATTCTCACAACTTTTAAACTAATAAATTAGTACAGAATAAGACAACCTAATGTTTACTACTATGTATTTGGAATAAAATATTATAATGTTAGAAGCAAATGAGACTTTGAGTTACAGAAATAACAAAAATTAATTGTATCTCCTCTAGTTTAAAGTACTATGTTTTAAACAGTGTTAAGAAAAACAAATTCTATATTTACGTTTTTGATAGAGAAATAAGCCATTTGAGTCAGCTTGTAATCTATCTATATACGACTAAAACTCTGAGATTGTTTGTTTGTGGGCTTGTCTGTAATTAAGTACAGCAAAAACGGCGCACAATACCGCCATATTTGTAATGAAATGAGAATAGAAACAGAAAAAAAAACAAGTCCCGTTAAAATCGGGCCAGGGTTACCGAGTTATCACTAGATGGCGCCACATATCAGTTTATATATCTATCTATTCGTTTTCCACCTAATGAATCACTTTAAAATATCTTCTGTACAACAATATA